GACATTAATTTCAAACAATTTCAACGAAATACTTTCTCCATCCATACCAAAAAATGCAACTTATGGACAATATGTGCATTTACAATAATGTTGGAATCCTGACAATCGGAAATGATCCAGTAAATTTGAACAGAGGTGAAAGATTGCAACAATGCGGCACCAAACGGATGGAGTTTTATAAAATGTTTATATTTACAAAATGCCGTCCACTCGTATTTTTGCGTAATAGTAATTAAATAAGTGAAGCTGATTAATTTTAGGTTGTGTGTCCATAAGAGGCTATGGGTAATTTAACAATAAATTCGTATTGAAGAGAAACACAGTAAAATACGACGTACATTACGTCACTGTTGTAATTAAAATAATTTTAATTTTTCGTTACCAATCAACATCTTAAAATTTAACTAGTGATCAACATATAGAACATAATAAATTGCAATAATATTTCGTTATATTTCATCTACATAAGAACTGATTTTGCTCCAATTTAAACATAAGTACTTTGAATAACGCACTCTCTAAGAATAAAAGTAGGGAAACGTAGTTTTCAGACAATGTATCACAGGGAATTCGTTTCGTTATGTTTGCTGTCAAATCCACAGGCAAAAGAAGAATTACACACACATATTAATTCATTATTTTTAAAGAAGTATGACACATAATTCGATCTATCGCAGTGTTGAAACGTTTTCAAGTATGTTTAAGTCATATTACTGTACTGTGTGGAAGACCAGGTGTTGACAGGAACCATTGTTCGATCGTAAATATTTGCGCCACTTCACGCCGATGAAAGATAATTAATAACAATTCCGAGTACGTACTTATTTGACTCGTACTTAATCTGGCTAAAGAACATTCATCATATATTATTTGTACAACACACACATGTCAGATTAATCAAAATTTTATTTAAGATTCCACAGTTCAACAGACGAATGGTATATTCGAGTATAGTTTAATGGGATGATATTTTGATGACTTTGAAATAGGCTGTAGAAGTAATGTCGAATATGTCGAAGAACCTTATTATGAAACAGTGCATCGCTTTTGCACCAAGGGCTCATTTGTAAACACACTTGACATAGTCTTAGTAGCTTTAATTGTTATCATTAGTTTGTTTGACATTGGTTCGCTTGACCAGCACCAGAACATCGTACCTAATATTATTTTATTTCCCATTATTATGAGATGTGCGCATTGTCAGGAAATATCATGTGAACATTTTCCAATAACAATAGGTCGTGTATATCAAATATGTCCACCAGTTTTAAGATACTTTAACCCAGTCAAACATTCCCTGAAATATTTCACTTATAGTTTCACCTCTAGACCGTCACCATGTACTAGTTTAAAATATCTTTATAATCGCAAGTTTGTTTGTATTTCGAATGAACTTCTTCCGAGTGTCCTCGTCCACATCTTTTGACATAATAGCAATAATTATATAGAATAATTGAACCATGAGTTCAAAATCGAAAACTGAACGGAAACTGAACTATTCGCACGAGGATAATTTAGGTAAGTCCACTACATGTCATGGATGTTCCTCAAAAATAATTGTCGCGACGAGGTTTATTATTTTCGTACAATGTTCAAAATAGAATTAATTTATTAAATGAACGTGCATAAGTATTCGTGACATTATACAAAGTACCCGATATCACAATGAATAAAACATTTGTTTAATGATTGACTGAATGCTCGCAAGTTACAAGTCAGCAAAGCTTATCATTTAGTAACGCTTGCAACTTAATAAGAGTTGAACTCATCTGAAATCCAGGTAAGATGTTTTGATTAACTGTCGCGTTGACCGGCACCGGTATGTAACCATATTGCATCTACAAATGTTTCTAAAGTGTCTAAGAAAGTGTCTGCGGATGTTAATTGTTTACCAGGTGTGCATGAAAACATGTTGTTCCTATTGTAATTATAGCATTTTTTGTTATAACATAAGAGTATGAATAAATGTAAATAACATTATGAATAAACTGTAATTTGTGCAAAGTATTAGATTATTTAATTTCAAATGATAGTTTCATCAAAACAAAAACGACCTTTAATACAAACCTTTCCGATCCGACACTCTACTGCGTGAAATAATGTTTTTAATGGCACGAGGTAGCATAAAAACTGTACATTTTTCAAAAAAATGAATTGTTTTGACTTCGAATAGTTTTCGTGGCCATTTATGCTTTTCTAAATATATTGGGAAACATTTAGTTTTTATTCAAATCAGAGCAAGATGTTATAATGCAAGTCATCCGATGTTTTACGTCAACAATGCAATGCGTGACACAGCCTGTAATTTTGTGAAATAGACTATTCACACGATACCAAGAAATAGGTCAGCAGAAACCTTGCTAAAATGTCCTATTTTTAGACAGCAATAGATGTTCTTTTGGAATTAAACAATAGGTTTTCAATTTTTACTAGTATGCTGGCTCATGAATATTCTTGCACAAATTAGCATATCGCGCAGAGCGCAGTCCGGTTAGTTACCAAGAGCTTCACGGACACCAGGCCGGAAACCACTGGTTTGATTTTGATCACCCCCTAAACCGTTGATCTGATTAGCTATTGAATCTTGATTTGATGAATTATTCAGCTGCTTTTTGAGACATTTAACTCAATTTGCGAATGTTCATTTTTCAAACAATCACAAATGTTCACTAGCAATATGAGTAAAATCTAACTGATATGTCATTAATCCTTATGTCAGTTACGTTAAGTGGTTGGTGTAAACAGCTGTTGTTTCAGTACAATACGTTCAATGACATTTTAGACCTGTTACCTCATCTAATATCTCAATATTTACTTCACAAGAGGATGTCAAAATGGTATCGACAGTTCTTGCATAACCGACCATGTTATGTCAGTTGCGCGAGCCGTGCAATAATTTTCCATATCATGCCCGCGCCCCATTTATCATATTTGGTAGTAAACGCGTCTATTTTCTGGAACTACTTTCTGTTTACAGACAACGCGCGTAATTTGAGTCTGCAATTCGATAATAGCTGACGATATTATTCTGTGGATGGGAAATATACCGAAAGACAAGTTGGACTCAATATTACCTTGACGAAAAACAATCATAAATGTAACTGGTCACAAAAACGTGTCAAGTTTACAGCATTACGATACACACATTGAATGGCATCGGTGTCGCTTAATACACCCAGCGACATCGATGCCAGCTGACTGTGATGATACTGTCTCTCAACGGAAGATATCAACGGCGCATTTCAGATATTCTACGCCAGAATCTGGAACTGTAAACCAAACTGCTTCTTGTCAAGCAATTGTTTCTCGTTCACCGACTACGGATTTTAACAACCGTGAAATCATCGTGTCTCTATCTACGGCTACAACATCAGCTCCAAGAAAACGTCCTTTTTTCATAATGAGTTCGTATTTATTACCGTTAAAATATTGTTATAAATTTACGTTCATTTGCTGTTTCATTAAAACGTAATTTGTGGATATATTTGGCGACATTCGTTTGTGTATTGTGTGAGAGATGTTGACGTATAAATCCGCGCCAGTAAAAAGGACCGTATCGAAACCCGGATGAGATCGAATAGGTTTTCTTTTTGGGCCAGACGAGCGAAATATAAGCGAAAAATAAGCCGTAGAAGCGGTCGTACGGCTTACGCGTCCTCGCAAGCTCGGGTGCTTCCGCCGCACGACCTTGGGCCGCAAAAGCTGTATCCAGTCCATAAAGGATAGTATATTATGGATGACGTCACTGAAACAACTCTGTAACGGTACAGTCCATAACTAATTGCCATTCATTGTAACTATATTTGCCGTTTTCTAAGAACTTCTGCCATTTAAAACAGCCAGCGAATGAACTAGGATCGCTGATGAGTGAGGCGCGCCATTCTTCAATACACAACACAACTGTACGGCAGAGACACCACTGAAACTTTACATCACACAGTAATCGTCAGACAGACTTTATTTGACTAAACGGGTACCAGGCCAATATTTAACGCGTGTATTATTCTCTGACCCACGACATTTTTGCGATAATCTATATCTCCGAAAACAATGTCAAGAATTAGCTTCGTCTTCTTATTCAAAGTCATCGTGGCAGCCAGTATACTTATCTTCCTTCTTGAGCTGCATGCCAATGATAAGGCTGTTATTCAATACATGAATATTCTGCAACGCCACAAGACTAACAACGGGCACGTTGTATATGTCCGTGTTGATAAAAATAAAGTACCTCACCATAAGCTCGCTATAACAGATGTAAAGGATCGTGATTCTGCATTTCAACAACCCAAGAACAGTGACATGGGAATTGATCATTTGCCATCAAATTTCGCATTTTTGATTAACCCAGCACGGAAATGCTCATTTACGAATTCAACATCCGAGTCTGTTATTTTGGTTGGCGTCGAATCAGCACCTTCTCATTTTGATTCTCGCTCAGCCATCAGACAGACTTGGGCAAACAGAAATCTACAAAAAAATCACTCAACTCGAGTAGTATTTCTTGTAGGTATTCCAGAGTCTGTGGAAATCCAAGAAGAACTTAGTCGAGAAAGTCTTGAATATGACGATATAGTTCAAGGAAGTTTCCAAGAACACTACAGGAACTTGACCAGGAAAACAATAATGTTTCTCAGGTGGTCGTATTATTTTTGTTTATCTGCGAATTTTGTCATCAAAACTGATGATGACGTGTTTGTTAACTTGATGATCATTGTACCACAACTCAGTTTAATGCCTAAAGGAGATATCTATCTTGGCCAGCATCAGGGAAACCCTCGTGTAATTCGTGATCCTCAGAACAAATGGTATACTTCATACGATGTTTATCCAGATGAATATTATCCAAGCTACAACATAGGTGCCTTATACATTATTTCTGGAGATTTATCTAGAAGGTGTTATGAATATATATCGGAGAATCGAACAGGATACATATCATCTGAAGATGCATATATTGGAGTTATAATGTCGAAACTCGGAGTACCACTGTCTACATACAGCATATTTGACCTTGATGGGGCTACACTGAACCAACCCTATCTCTACTGGGAATACCCGGTTATACACGATGTTTCAGCGAGGATGATGCTTGAGTACTGGTCAAGTTTGGAGCAAATAAGAAGCCGGGATATTGATAAAATATTTAATGACAACACAAATGCAGAGATGACCATTCTGGAAGACATATTCCTCGCTATAGTGGTCACAACGCCAGCTTCCCAGCAGAGATGGAGAAATAATTATCGACAAGTTGTAAAACCAGCGTCAATAATAAAGAATAATAGTGTAGACGTGATTCAGGTTGTCTGCAAGACTGATAACGAGATTGTAAATATATTGAGTGAACACGAATCGTTGTATTACAAAGATATGGTGCGAGGAGATATTTTGTGCGAAGAAGACAATATGTATGAAGGTCATGTTTTTGCAATTAACTGGGCTAAAGATAAATTATTCTCACAATATATTATGTTTATCAACTCGGGTCGTGTACACATCAACTTATATACATTGTTAGACCTTTTTAATCAAACCAATGATAACATTGATGTCGCCTTCTTCTGTGAAGGAGAAAGATGTTCATGTAATGGCTTACAGAGTAACACAATAATGAAATGTGGCCTGAAAGATATGGCATGTGTAGAAGATATGGCTTCTTTGCAATTATTTGCCATTCTTACATCACGAAATTTATTATCACATTTCGATCGTATTGATATACGTAAAACGGAATACATGGTCGTTAGATCCAGACTATTTACTTATGAATCGAGAAGGAAAGGAATAACTGGATTCGCTTGTGGATTTCGGCAGTCATACTTTGCTGAATTTTGGCGAGGGAAGCCAAATTTTTATGATCTGCCCTGGCTGAGCATTGACTGTGACAATAAGAAATACAGAAATCTTGTACCCGAACCAGAAGTATATGTATGTTAAATCTTACTGATGTGCATCCCGTATACGTATAAAACGTGTGATCATATTCTGTGATTCAGTTCCCTAGAAAACAATACAAATTGTCATTCCTTCAAATGACGAGATCTTAATCAATATTCACAGTTGCTCTTGTTTCGAATGTCGAGTCATGTATATATCAAATCCTTCAATAGCTCTCATAATTATGACTTTGCACTTTGTAGTTGTGTAATCCATCTGTCATTTGCATAAAGGTTTGCTGATCAAGTTAGCTTGCTTTGACATAATATTTTGTGTTTAAAATGTATTTAGCTTCCAAAGATTTGGTAGCAAAGACATTATGTATGTGCAACTCAACTGATGCACTATGCGATACATACAAACATATGTGGAAAATTCATATTCCGTTTCCATTACGACAGAATAGTATTTGTAAAGAGCATTGAAATACATTACTAAGTTTTAATCTTATCATTATATTGAGTAATAAACACATGCATTGGATTTATATTACTCCTAGCCACTAATTAAACATACACCCTGATTTTAACGACCTTCACGTATTCAATTACTATAAGCAAAGCTACAGATGTAAGTCATTTGGTGGATTGTTGTTACTCAAGAACAGGAATAAGCACTATGGCATTTTGCAATCTTTTCGCGAATTGTTTCTGCTTGTGCACCTTTTTGACATGGGTTAGGTTTCGTGATAATAATAAATTGTGTGATAGATATCTTTCTCCAATCGTTAGGTTACTAGGTTAACATTTCTATGATTGTTTCAAATTATAGAAGTAATATTCACTTTAGTGAACTTTCAGAAGAAAATATTTACCTATTATTATCTTTGATTGCTTTGGACATGTTCACAGTAATATGCTTTGTAGTTGAATTTGTACCCCATTTCTATGCTGAGCTGATTGATTCTAATGAAATATTTCTATGAGCAATTATTGCCAGTCGTTCATTAATGAATCACGCCATTCCAGAAAATGGTCAAGGAATATGTCATTCAATCCGACTTGCAGTGATGTACTGTGATGACAGCCAGTCAACAAATTCATATATATAAATTGTTTTCTCTGAAAAAGTTGTCTCTTCTATTTCGGTTTGGCTCTCGATAGTTGAGATCAGTTTTTATATTCTCTTTCGTTTTTGACACAATGGACGCTATCACATAATCATGTATTCAAATAAAGCCTCTTGACAGCTGTCTGATGAATCATGCAGTACAATTTAATTTAATTTAATTTAATTTAATTTAATTTAATTTAATTTAATTTAATTTAATTTAATTTAATTTAATTTAATTTAATTTAATTTAATTTAATTTAATTTTATTTTATTTTATTTTATTTTATTTTATTTGCTGGCAGTTGTTTGAGTGTTCTGGTAATCGCAAAACCCACAAGGATCTAACCCAATGCTCATAAAAATCACCGCCAATAATGACGGGATGTTTTAACTGTTTATAAACATACCAAGCGTTCTCCGCCATTTGTATGGGAATAGACATTACAATATGCAGTAGATTGTAGTTCATTAAAATGTGAACGTGCTGTACATTATTATTGAGTATGTTATTCAGGGTCAGCACATCAACACAATAACCTAGACGGAATAAAATATCTATACCAGCGCGATTTGTGTCGCATTGAATTTCCCCTCCACACAATTCTCTATGTGTGTTCATCTTGCTTCAAAGTATACATTCTTTTTAAAAGATAAAAATCACTTGAATGTTCTCTCTAGAGAAACTCAAAAATGTGGCGACATTTAATGTAAGACCTGAAATTGATTGGGTCGTTAAAATGTCTTGTCATTTTTATATACATTTTGATTTCGTTAACAAGTTTTATTATACGTGCCCTTTGTGTTAAGAGGTTGTGTAGAACGATATTTTATTATATTTTACAACAAGCACTATGAGGCTAGAACAAAATTCAAGACAAATGTAAATCATATTTAAAAATGTTTGGTGGATTCTGAAATTACAGAAATAAAATCCAATAAAGAGGATAGTGACATTTCACTAGCTTTAGACCAAGCAGATTGTCTTACTCAACATATTCGGTATTGTATTGATGACAACAACATTCGTTGAAACAGAAGAATGGGAGATGATACGAGAGAAGCAGGTAAATTCACTAAATATGGAGTTGGTAGAAAGCCAGGAGGCCACTCATCAGCGTTAGCCTCGTCCTCTGTGACAACAAAATTCGAGGGAGAGGGTATTATTACCCTTCCTTCAACTTTAGAAACATCATCTGAAATATTCGTCATCACTCCTAACATTATCATTAGCGTCAATATAGGCCTTGAATGATGCATTTGGCATGATGACAGTGCTGGTATCTGTCATCTGTGTCATGAATTCTTATTATTTATTCTTACATTAATTTGCGTAAGTGGTTTTACGAGGTGCGCCCTCTGTGGCAGGATGAACATACACAGGTGGAGCTAAGATGGCGGAGTAGCTGGCGAGGACTGGTAGTGAGTGATCTGTCGTACTGGTTTTGTTATAGCGTTCTGTGACATATGGGGTGTGTTTTCTTGTGTTATAGGAATCCTGTGGTATTTTATTTCTGTTTCATGAATTTCAAGTGCTGAAAATAAGCCAGAAAATTTTGAGAAAATTCGCGAACATGTGCTTGCCCCCCCCCCCAGGTATAGATAGCAAAAACAAATTTCTTGTTCTTCAGGCGATAATTCGATCATTGTAGATCACTTGCTGTGACAGTGCTGGTTGATATCTCTTGGA